CCTTTTATAAATATACACATAAAGAGTTGGAAATTGTTGGGAAAATGTGATTTTTATGAAGTTTTCGTATACGTTATTATACAAATCATTGCCTATTTTAAGACACTGCTTATGTAAATATTTTAAACTACATTCATATCGATAAAAATCACTAATCCCTTATAGGTTACGAGATCACGGTGTCGGATAAATGTATTTTATTAACATTGATAACAAAGCAACTTTACGATTTCGTATAAACAAAACAAATAAATAATAAATAGCATAAGTTAATCTAAATTTCGACAAATATGAGAAATTTTTAGACAAACGCCATTTTCGGACCAAAGGCAAAGGAATTCTTGGTAAAGTTCGCCCGCTTTATCATGACCGGTAAGTGATAATACTCATGTAACACACGTACCACCGGAACTACAGTTATAAAAATTGGAGACGACGAGTTTCTGATAAAGCAAGGATAAAGAAAGCATTTTTGAAAATTTTATGGAGTAAAAATAAGTGTTGGAAATAAGTGTAGTTAATGAAATTTTAAAGATATTCGGAAAATATCGTAAAGGATAAACCGAGATCAGAAAAAAGCTCTTTCTGTTTAATTTTTCCAAAGATTTTCTTGAAGGTAACTTTTTTTCTGGCTTTATACATGCATACATTTAATACCTTGAAGTAAAACGAACCATTTTGAATACTCTCTTTGTTTGGTCTGTCTAGTTCCTCTTCACTTTTTTTCCAAAGTCTCCCTAAAGTGCTCTCTGAAATAAAACAGGTATCACAAGCAAGACCGGAATTGGTTTCTTCCAAAGTGAACTTTTAACACTAAATGACATTTTCTAAGACTGCACAAAATTCTCCGCAACCTAAAGTTGCTGCTTTCACCATTGAATAACTCAGTAAGAAATTATTAAAACCACTTGCATTCAACATTTAGCAAAGGTACCTCGACCCAAATAAAAATGTTGATCAACACGGTTTTGTGATGCAAATTTTATTTAGATTTAAAGTAATGGGTATTCTTTTCTTTGTTAAACACCTTAATAATAATATCAAATAAGTATAACAAGATTTCGTTTTATATTATTTATAGATTTTTCTACAGGTTTGATGTTCATTAATAAACATTGTATAAAATAGTAAATTATTACCTTGCAATGGCATACATGTAACCGCAAAAGAAAGTTTATTTCTTAAGTAAGTAAAACATTTACATCTATTGCATATTGCATGATCTTATTTTGTTTTCTAAATAAATAATAGCTGATCGGGTTATTATGTAAATGAAATATATTAATAACATTCAAAAATAAAGTAAGTATTTCCATACAATAAAGAAAATTATTAATTTTATTTTAGCACTTGTATGGCAGGATAATATAATTCATAAAGAAGCTGCAATCTCTAAACTGGAGCTACTAACTAACCAAAACATATACAGGGCGGTCAAAGTTGGAATTTTATTCCGAATTTTCTCATTAATTGACAAAGTTTTTACAGTATACTTATAAAAACTGGTAGTTTTAGGGTTTTTGACATGACAATCATGAACTTCTTATTTAAATAAATCGAATCAACTCTCTAGTTACGATGACTTATTTACAATTAAAAAAAAAAGTCTTTTTCTGTTATTTTTTTAATAAAAACTTAAAAGATGAGGGAACAATAAAAAACCAATATAAAGTTTAAGTCGACTGACATTTGCTTGAGCAAAAATACAAATTACTATAAGAAAAATGATTACATCGCGGCATTTAATGATTACCAGCTAATACGTTTGCATAAGTAGTAACACGCACACAAATTAGTCAAAATTTAATGACGTGTAAACTTGTCATATGCTGACATAAGCCTACTTAGAACATATTACTAACATCGTTTTATTACTATTACTGTTATTACTACCAAATTATTATGACCAAAAATTAATTTATTTAAACTAAGCACCCTCTATGAACAACGTCCAAATAAGTATTATATTCGTAATTGCCATGTCAAAAAATGTAAAACTGTAAATTTTTATTATGATAGGTACCACACATTCTCAATTAATGAAAACATTCGGAAAGAAATTCAAACTTTAAACGTCCTGTATCTCCCAAACCAGTATATCTTAGGCTCTATCATAATATTTTCTCTCTAGTATTTCTAGTTCAGAGATTGCCAATTGTTTATGAACAATCCTGCATATTATTTAGAACTACAACATGAATCATCAGTTTGATATTCACAAAAATAAAAAAAAACATATTTCTTGTTTTTAAGAAATAAAAAATATTGGCAAAATGCGCACATTTAAGTGAAGACCTGTTTATTTTTCTTTTTTTAAATGGTGCTGCTGAAAAAGTGACTACTACTATTTGCTGACAATACGCTTTTTTAAAACGTTAAAAAAGACAAATATTTTGAATGACTAAGTACATCAAATTGCCTGTGCTTTTTTGGAAGGTTTTTTAATTTTATAAATTCATAATTACATAACTTTTTTATACATTTTATTTTTCAAACATTTAACGATAATATTGTTTGATACTATCTAAATGATTTTAGTAAGACTTACATCGGTTAACAAATTAATTAAATCAAGAAAGACCATTGCTAGCTATATTTTTTCTATTTTAAAATTTGCCTGAATTTTTTAGTTTTACTAGCCCTGTGAACATACGCAGTTTAAGATCGAAGAGAAATAATTATTTGATAAAACGTATTGACTTTGAAAAAGATTTTGATAGTATTGGAATCAGCAATCAGCAATGAAATAGAGATCAAGAGGGGATACGTCATGGTTACATTCTGTGGAGAAATTTTTAACAAAGCCAAGAGCGACAGGATGTCAGGAGTGATCATAAATGGAAAAACTGTTACTAAAGCGATATATGGTGACCAGCCTGGCCGGAAGTTTATTCCAAATATGAATAATTTGTTATCTTAGCAAACAATTCATTTTATTTGTTAATTTTATTAAATAAACAATATTCTCAATCGTTGCTTTTGATTTTACTTTAAAGCGGAAAACCTCACCAATGTCTAAATAGCTACCAAGACACGGCAAATCGCGAAATTGCGAAATGAATGGGACATTAATAATGCCGTTTTCGTGCATATTTCAAATAATTATTACATAAAGAACGTACTTGAGTTTATATAGGGTAACCTTGACATTACGCGGATTTATTTTTCACACGGAAAAGCCACGACGCACGTGTTCCCTTTTTTTCCATTGCAGCGAGCAGCGGCGCCGTTATCAACAAAAACCCGCTTTCCCTCGTCAAGAAAACTCTCTCTCACAAGAAACGAGTTATCTTCCATCCCAATAACCAGTTTAACTGTCCACAGAAGCCCTGAAAGATTTCGTGAAAATTCTGCCTATTTACACTGAGCCAGAACCGTTGGAGTGTTAAGAGGTAAGTAGTGAATAGAAAGTGGCACCTTCGTCAGACTTTATTACTCCCTTTTAATTATGGGGCGAGTATACCAAAAAGTCGTCGTAAATATCTCGACGCTTAATTCCCCCCGCAGACGTAAATCCCAATTATCGACAATTTCAAAAAATTGATTTGATTAATCTAGCGTGGAATTAGTTCCCGAATGGGTTCGGTTCTTTGATGCATACCAACGGCTAAATCTCTTTATTGAAGGAATTACAACAATTTCGTGTTTGTCTGCTCGTCAAAACATTATCTCTCTGTTGCGGGATCAAACCAGAAACACGGAGAACGGTATGATCGAGACGAATCGATTGTTTAACTACGAATTACTGTTAATCCCGAGCGTCTTTAAGGCAGGGAGCGTTCCTGCGAAAGCACGTTAAATTTTTTAAATCCTCGCTAAGGCGCGAAACGTTCGTCTATGACATTTTAAGTCGGCGGTCGCGTTAAGCTACCGTAATGCCGATGGCGTAGGACTTAATCTCTAATGCCTAATGGAATTCTTCGACTAAATCGTATTTTCATTGTTCTCTCTTTAACATTTTGCAATAAAAGTTTTTTTTAATTTATTTTTCGACACGTTTTGAAAAAAAAAAACGAAAATCCGCTATTCGTGTAATGGCAGCTGTGAACGCCTGCGCGGTCATTCATCGAAGCAGATGCAATGAATTGTAGTTTCCTACAATTCATTGCATCGGCTGCATTTCGTAAGTACCATGGACCATTGGACAATTTACCTACAGGAAACTTAGCTGTGTTTAAACGTGGACCTTGACAACATTGTATTCAATAACAGCAATTGCGGAGAACGTTATCAGTCACTTTTATTTATTTGTATTAAGTAAGCACATTTTTTGCAAAAACGTTTTAAATATTGTTGAGATAAATTATGCCAAACTTACATTACCTCGTGTACGCTGGGGTTAGATCGAATTTTGTAACCAAAAGCAGAAATTGTTTCATATTTAGCAGGATATTTTCCAAAAACGAGCAAAACGAGACCAAACCCAGGCCACAAATAGTGGTAAGATTCCTTCACAATGATGGTAACTCAACTGAGCACCACCAATTCCCTCAAAGCTGGGAGATGAGTCAGTATTAACCAAAGCCATCATGCAAAAATTACATGATTTCTCAACAACAAACAAACAGCAACAAAACTGGTTAGTAAAGATGAATTGAGCCAAGTCTATGGCCAGCGCACTGGCAACTTTCAACTGATGCCATCATTTCACCAAACAAAATTCTATTTTATGTTGTATTCCGTACATATTGTAGGGAGTTTTAGATCGGAAGTAACATCTGTAACTTCTTTCTCTTCTAATGCCTTATAAGACCTACTATATAAGTAGGTTGCTATTTATATTATGCTATGATAGGTAAAAAACATTTCGTAACCCCCACCCCGCCATCTTTACCTAACTTTTATGGTGAAAAGCGTTTATTTACTAACTGATCTTTCGTGGTGTCAGAAGCTACGAAATTACCAGTTACCAATTACAATTCCCGAGATGTCCAGGGAATAAAGTTTGAGCAAACTTAGATATTACAAAGCCCACCACCTATTTTGGTGACAAGATTTACCTGCATTTGAAGTATCAACGCGTCCAACAGTGGCTGCGGGTTGTTATTCTGGCAGTGACTCCAGTACTCGCCCTGAACCGGCACGATCTGATCCTCCGTCGAAGAAGTATCTAGCGAAGGGGCCACGCAACACGCCCCTGTATCCATAGTACCCCCGAAAAGGGGTCTCGCACACCGCACTCTCACTCAAAAACGAGCAATTTTCATTTTTCAGAGCGATTTCCAAAAATATCAACAAAAAAACGTGTCGAAACTAGCGACTATACGTGGAACGTTTACGCGCCTATAATTATTACGTTTATTGGTGGAGCGTAAACATAATGTATGCGGAGAGGGAGTGATGAGGGGCCGGAGACAGATCCTTGTGGCAGTCCACAGTCCGCGGTTGGTCGGTGCAGTTGTTCCTCGCGGTTCAACTCTGCCACTTTCGCGACCGCGACTAAAGCGTATAGCAGGATACGATCGCGCGCGCGTCTTTCTGATAGCAGGAATAGGACGTGGGAGCAGGAGGAGCGATGGCGCGAGGGACGCGCGCCGTCGCGACGGCGCAGGCGTCCCCCACTTCGTTCCCGGTTGCAAATGGTGTCTATCGATTTCAGTAAAGGGGAGGAGCGACCTGGAAAAACATTTTCTACGGTTTCAATTTCGAGATTTTTCATGGTTTTATAAGTCGTTTAACATTTACTGATAAACTTGTAAACTCCCTTAAAATCCATTTGAATTTTATTCTGTGTTATGTAATACAAATAATGATAATTAATCTAAGGTTATATGCAACCATTACCGTTGATAGTTCGAATTGGCAGCCAAATTAGCCCACCAAATTAATTTTCGGAACAGGGTTGAATAAACCATAGGAAGTATAAGCATTTGTAGGTTGCATTGCAATTGCAAATTTCCTGCCATTTAGATAATTAAAGATCATTCTATAGTGTCATATTCAGATGTAAAAGACCACTGTTGAGATAATTACTGACACTTAATTAACTACTCACGTGGTTCAGTTAGTTAAAAAACACTCAAAAAACCTTTAGAAAAGTCTACCAAAACGAACACAAATGCATTAACTAGAAGAATTACCTCGTTTTACCGGCTCTATTTTCATATTTTGAGGTTTCTTTTTATTCTTTCATTATATCTTTCTTATCGGTAATTTTAAATGCCATTTTTACTTACGTTTATAGATTTATTTTAACATCTTTATTTCCTCTTTATGTAAAAGATTGGTTTGGGTTAGTTATCTGTTTTTTATCGGTAATCTAATATCCGCAATTTTATTGTTTATTATATATATATATATATATATATATATATATATATATATATATATATATATATATATATATATATATATATATATATATATATGTATATTATGAATATAAGAATATATGTATTTTTGTACATTTAAAGAATTAAAGAAATACAAAAAAGAAGCATTCTACAGTTCTTATTAAAATTAAGCAAAGAACCAATTTATTTTATTATTTATTTTATTTTGTTATTTGTTCTTAAGTTCAATAGGTAACGTTAAAATATTGTTTTTTTTTATTTAGCTAGTCTAGCATTTATTTTGTAATAATACAGTTACTATTTTGTAACATATATATTGTGTTGCTTTGTGCAAGTACATCTTCTTACCCCTGATTTTATCCATAACTGATTAATTTGTAACACTTGGACATCATCAAATAAGTCTATGCTGGAATAAAACTAGTTTTTATTTAGAATTATTATCATTATTTATCTATGTAACAGACTACTTAGACAGCTAGTTTCTACGTGAAGTCTAGCATTACAGTTAAAACATACATACATAGGATTCTTGTTTTTTGTAAATTAAAATTAATAGTAAATTACTTATAAATATAAATGCGGTGAATTAATTTAACTTCATTTAAAAATTAGTTTTCGGTTTTAACAATAAAATAATATTTTTAAATTTTAGCATCTTAAAACTAATAATTCGAATTTAGAATAACCTGCGGCAGACGCAGACTTTGCGAAAAGGGGCAGGGGGTACATTACGGGACTAATTGCGATTAATTGCCGACGCATTTAATTGCGATTATTACGTTTAAACCGAAATACAAACGCGACCCACTTATTCTGGCGGCAAAATCTGACGCGAATTAAACGCCAAATATCGTTTAACGCTGCTATAAAAGTGAAAGCACCAGACGATCTACAATAAATTACTTCATCCGCCGCAATTACAAACAGCACACGCGAAATTTATTGGACTATCTAATTCCCAGCTGCAACATTTATCATTAATTTCTATTTATTGACTGCGAGAGGATTATTAAAACCGTTAATAAAGATCTGCCGTGTTTATCATCGCGTACATCGAATACATACTGGGAGAACCAGTTGAGCAATCCGTACCAGATACGCACAACCGTGGGATTTTTTTGCATAATTTTTATTTATTTTATTTATTCAGTTCACGATATATTCCAAAGGAATCCTGAAAATATTAAGAGATATTACCGAATTCTTATTCTGAAAGAATCATGGAAATTTAATTTTTAATTTCATAAAAAAAGAAAGAGATATTTTTTTCAAGAATTTACTGAGCTATTATTTTTCTGGTTTTTCGCGATTATAATTACATATAAATATCATTAAAAGTGTCATTTAGGACGTTACTATTTTGGTTATTTTACTTAGTTTATTTAATTTTGTAGCTAAATTTATTTTTATGGAAATGTAATTTTTAATTTCCCGAAAAAACAGCGTTCTATTATTATTTTTTTTTAGAATTTTAATTTTATTGTATGTGCAAATAAATCCAAAAAAAGGGGCTAACCAAAACTAACCAAAAAAATAAGATATATGCATAAGTTTCACGGACACAAAATGGCATACATTTTGGCTGGTATTGATTGGTTTAATTTATTTTCAATAATTTATACTTATTTTGCGGAATTTGGATTCAAGATATATATCAAAATGAAGATAACATTTCCTTTAGGACTTATGAATGCTAAAACTTGGCTTAGCTTTGTTTAGCTTTTTATTCGTTTGTATTTATTTAATTTACGTTTTATTCGAAGGAAATAACAAAAATATAAATACATATACATTGAATATCATTTTGGTTGCAGAATTTGCTAAAATATTGGTAAGTTTATTTTATTCTCTATTACTTATTATTTATTTATTTATATTATGTATTTATTATATGCCATATTTGAAATAAATAACCTAAAAGAGAAAATATTGAATATGATAATGAAATAATTTTAATTATAAACTTTACCCTTCGCCAACTGCGGCACACGCGGCGCACCCTGTATCTTGCGGACGTTGTGAATTCTCATTAAGAATAACTCGATATGGCACCGGCCGCCGTCGAATCGCCTGCCTTTTTTCGGTTATTTTTTATGACGGTTGCTGTGCAAAAACGGTCGCCGCTGGCTTACACGTGAAAGCTGTACGTACAAGCTTAATTGATAATTAAAGAATTTGCCCGAGAGACCAACGATCTTACGATGGGTTTGTCCGTTTTGCCAAGAGATGTTTAAAACCACTTAGTGTTTGCTAATAACTATTTCGTATTGTTAACAGTAACCATGGCAACAATGGCAATAAAAAAATGCTTTTCGTTATCGGTCAGAGAATAAAAGACTATTACCCCATCTACGCCGCGCAAGCATTGAGGTACTTCACAAAAAAAATGCAGGGAAGACAAAAGCAGATCATAGATTGTGTTCTAAAAGTATTTTAAGGAAAAGAAGACACAAAATACAGAACATAATTAAAAAAAGAGAACTAAGATAATTATTAGTTGACCATAGTTCAACCATAATAACTGATATCTAACGACCTACAAACTCTCATCATAATACTGTTATTTTTGAATATTTTGAAGTAACATCGTATGATTTAAAAAGGTCGATAGATAAGTAGTGTGAATCTTAACTTCAACTTCTGAACATCTCTTTTATAATACATTTGTTGTAAAAAATATAGGTTCGTTCCGTTCTCACTGAGCAATAAAAAATAGTTATACGATTGGGAGAAATGTTTCATACTTGAGTCGGTTATCAATCATGTTTGATCTTTATTTTTGCGTGTTTATTCTTTTTATAAGTTAATTAATATTTATGTAGATATTGATTAAATGGTCTTACCGTACAAATCAATTTTAACTATACTAAAGCCAGGTTGCAGCAAATAATCCTGATCTTAACTAAATCATTTCTCCAGATGTGGCTCGATGTATATTGAAATTCAATTTCGTAAAAATGTTATCAAATTATGTTTGATGTTTCTATTTTTAGTTTCTTTTTCATGTTTGGTGTATATCTGTCAGTTTTTTAATATAACATTATCTCGGCTTGCTTGTAAACTATAATAATGGCAAAAAAGTGATACACACTGTTAATAAACAAATACGTAAGTCAGTTTTAAAAAATGTTCATGATATCAGCCAGCGAACGCAAACGTGTTGAGAAATTCACTTGAACGTCGAATTTGAAATAAGATCTACATCAAATACTCTTTATACCACAACTTTTTTATTTTGATCTGCAGCCTTACAGTGAACCACAGTCCAACAGCATGATGAAAATGAACGTTGCGAAAAATAAGGCCCGGGCAGGTAATAAGACAAATGCACCCACTTAACAATAAAAAAAGAATTTATATGTATTATGGCGCCATCTATGCGTTGGGCTGTTATCTAAGTTAAATATGCAAACCGGCATACACGATTAAGTTAAGGTGTTTTTCCATGTGCATTATCCGGTCGAAATTATAAAAATTCATAATCGAACGGCCACGTTTTTTCGATATAAAGGATCAGATCAAGAATTTTAAGAAAGGTAGGTTTTAGTTTGCTCATTAATACAATTACTAAGCCAGTATTTAATAGTAAATTTCATTTTTTTTATTAATCATATCCTCAACATGATTGCGTAGCAATGTGGGTAATAGGACCCAGACAGATATCAGTTGGGTCTTATTACCCACCACTTGAATTTAATGAGCCTTATTACCTTATACTACAGAAATATGGTCAAGAAATGTTGCGTCTTGAGGGACGATTGGACGCAAGACATGATGGAGGAAGCACTATTGCTTCTACGTGAAGAAAAATCCCAGCCTTAGGTGAAAACAAGATGTGATATACCACGTCGCACCCTTAGAAAACATTTGGAAAGTGGAGCTGTTTAAAGAATTCTGAGAGCAAGGCCTACCTTGAATGAAGCACAAGAAACTTAATTTGTTCGGAAAATCATTAAATTTGACACCAAAGGCACTACGACGAAGTGTATCCAAGTATGTTTAAAATCAAGGCATTTCTAGCCCTTTCTACCATGAAAATTGCTGGACGTGATAAATCATTTATGAAGCTACATCCTTTCTTGTCTCAACGAAAGGCCCAGTCGATGAATCCTGCTAGGGCGACAAAGCT